CTACCCCCCCTTTCGATAACTCTGTCCTAACGCTATATATAGTATATAGATAATAGGAATCTCTTACCGCAAGCGGTAGTCGGCTTCGCCGGAAGTAAGTAAGTTAGATGTTATAAGATAATACTTAGAACAAAGTACTTAGTATAGTATATATATATAAAGACTTAAATATTTCGAACATATACATTTACGGGGTGCCTTAGTATAGCGGCTAAATTRAGAGCCATAATACTACACAACTACTGTATTATTCTATCCTAATCTACTACCTTATACTAATAGAATTCTAGATGCYACCTCTTCCGAGATCGGTCTAGAATCGCGTTATCTACTTCGCTACCCGTAATCCGGGTATTAGCGCGGGTAGACGATAGCTCGAGATAGAGGATAGAAATGATTACGCGGACTATAGCGCGTATGATCTACTACGGGATGTCGTAGACTTTTACTACGAAGGCGGGAGAGATTTATAGGCGATTACGATGGTAGACGCGGATAGTCTTAATCGCGTAGAGTATTATCTACTCTATTGGTTCGCGCATACGACTAATAAAGTCTAGTTACTCGCGGATCTAATACATGTTAGCGAGGGACGGTAGAGGAAGAGGGTAGGGGTGTTTTTTTTTTCGTATAGTAGGCGAGATATAAGACGGAGACATTCTATATCGTAAAGGCGTATAAGGCAAAAAGAAGGGATTGCCCTAGTATAGCGTAAGGCTAGAAGCGGCAACAGCTTAAACAGTTTTTTTTTACCTTCTATTAGGTAGCAATATATATATAGCTTTTCTATTAGCCGGTTATTCTAAATTAGTAGAAGACGTAACTCTTACCGCAAGCGGTAGTCGGCTTCGCCGATTAATAGATAGAATATTAGAGGAGAGAGACACGTATTCTAAGTAAAAGGATATAGAGATTCGCGTTTAGGAAAGAAGGACGTTAAAATAAGGGAACGTTATAACTAATATCGTATTAAAGCAAAAAGATACCTAAGGAAAGTCGTAACACGATTCTACGAAGTTTAGTATATATTATGTATATTACATAAAAAGAACAAAAAAATTGATTCCCCACATTTATGCCCATGCYAAAGTTTATGCYAAAGTTTGCCCTCTGAAATTGTGTTGTAGACGGAGCATTACGACCGAAGCCGGACAACCCTGTCGCTAGATGTTTAAAGTCCAGCCCCTTAATTGAACCCGATTCGAGCGGTTRGATGTAAGTTAAACCACTACGCTACGGAGCCGTCAATCCACAGATGTCCAGCTTGAAAATTTTCGTCTTATATACCTATGGACCCTGAAATTTCCCCCACTTCTCCACATAGGATCCTYAACTTCTGAATGACATYAGGTTACTTTTTCGGCCGCTCCCGCGGCCAATCAGGCCGCCGCGCTAGCCACAGCGTTTTTTGGCTTCACCCCCGGGACATTAGAGCAGCGAGCTGCAATCATGCATCATCGCTTCGTGACTCCAAAATGCTAGCACTGATGCTTTGGTGGTTCCTCCGGACGCTCCGTATTCTGCGCACCCTCCCAAGTCTTCTCCGCAAATGGACTTCGCTGGCGTATACGCTTGCCATAGAAAAAGAACATGGCCGCAACTCCACAAAACGCCGTCGCCATGGCCGCCAGCAAGAAGAGTGCATTGTTCGGCCCCAGTCCTTTAAACATCTGAGCCCCATATAGAGGAAATGCACCCGACAGTATAGCTCTGAGGACCGCAAGCGGAGCATTCGCCGAAGCGGAGTATTGGACATAGGTATCGCAGAGGTAGCCGCAGAGTGTGTTGTCGAACTCAACCACCGCATACCCGAACAGAAGCAGTGAGATGATGGAAGGCCATACCGAGATTCCTTCTGCTAGAGGTGGAACTGTGAATGCACACCACCATAATCCGATGGCGAGGACTGGTGCTGCGACGTAGAATCCAAACAACTTGTCCTCGGCTTCCATGGGTGTGTTCCGGCTGGCCCTCCTCTTGAGAAGTTTGACGTCGTATATTCTGGGTAGAAATGTGAATAAGACACCTACTGCGATGGAGAGGAAGACCAGGGAGGATTCTTGTCGGGGGAGTCCGAAATGGTCGGTGTAGATGATCGAAAACGCTTCCGTCTGGTGGGAACATTAGATTTAGATGTTCGAATTACTGCCATGCAAGGCAATGCACTCACGAAAAGATAAGTAAGGCCATAAACCATTGCTGCCATTGTGGACGTGAAAAAGACAATCGGTTCGGTGAAGAAGAGCCTAATTGGCAGTGCAAGCGTCGTCTTGATGAATGTGTTCACATCTGGGGAGCTATCGAGCTCGGTCACAGAGAGTCGATCAAAGTTGGTCTTACGGGCTACGGTCTTGACTTGGTTCCGGAGTACTTTGGATGGCCTAGACTCCTGCATACCCAGGCAAAGCAAAGCCACCACGGCGAGTACCGCCGCTGCTGCGTAGAAGAGCGAGCGCCTATAGAATGTTATCAATTTGCTAGAAGCCATGCTTCTGCTGACCTACCAGCCATAGGGTGATAGCGCAGCATAGGTCGCAACGGGTGGTCCGATTCCCAGTCCCAGAACGGCCGATGCGATCCAGATGTGAATAACCCAGACTCTCGCTGTAGAATCCCACATGTTTCTTTAACGATGTCGTAAGTTGCTGAGTGCTCTCGCGGAGAAATATGCACTTACTCAATGGATGAAGCTGCAACCACTGTAGGGATTGCTGAGCAGAATCCTCCAAGGAATCGGAATATGACCACAACAACCAAGTTCGGACATGCTGCGATGATGAGGCAAGTGACGGCGTACCCAAAGGTCGATGCAACATATATTGTTCGTCCCCCGAAAACCTCTGCAATCGGAGGGAATATGAGGCTTCCAAGTCCCTGTCCTGCCAAATAAGATGTCACAAGACATAGCAGGGCAACTTCGCGCCCAGCTCCGATTTTCATACCCACGTCGCTCGTTATTGAAGACCCGGCGTTGCTCATGAGCGTTGTGAGGAATTCCAACACGCAGATGACAGCGGTATCGCCTATCTTCCGCGTCAATGACCATTGTCGAGGATGAGACTTGCTGTTCTCAAGCCACGTCACCTCCCCGGATCCATTGGCCTGGAAACCTCGTTTCTCAAGGGCATCGTGAACGTGAGCAGGTATGCCCACGGTATGCATCGAATCTCGAGAATGTAGTTTGTCAGTGTCGTTGGTACTCCATGTTCGTGCAAAAGCGTGGCGTTTCGGAGCAACATTAGTGCAGAATGAATATATCCAACTTGGGAAATGCATAGTTTGACCAGAGGATGACTGGTACAGCGGTGAACAGCGACAAATTCAACGCATAGACACAGCATTCGCCGGCGGCGCAAATGACGTCAAACATATCGCAGAATGAGCGCGATGTGTAGCATCAAGTAGATCTTCGAGATGTATCGCATGAGCGACGAAATTTTAGTGGAATGAGTGAACCTTTTTTCTCGACAGTTGCAAAAGTTGGGTAAGAAAACGCTCTGCGGTACCCACACTCCGCGATATTGCCCAATCACGATGATAACAACGTGACGTGTCTTGAACAAAAGAGATCGACATTGCCTTGCCAGCGGTATGATCAGCGCAATAGCGTTCCGGGGCGTGCATTCATCGGGACCCTAGTACGGTGGTCTTTTAGCGACTTCCCTGCAACAACGCGATCTAATATAGCTTAACGCTACTAAGTGGAGTAATTTCACACCTCGCTTATTGATTTAATTGCCCGTACAATTATATGTAATAAACGTCGTTATTTGCTTGTGTGTATGTAATATTACCGTCCCGTTATTACTTAGTTACCGGTCCCGATATATAACGGGTTTCGGTTACCTATATCTTACTTTAATACTACTATTATATATATGCTTCTACTAGTAACTTATTATACGCGTAAGAGTAATATTTATATGCTATAAGACTCTTCCCTCTACTCTTCTACTATCTCCCCTAGTCCTCCTAATAACTACTATATTTAATACTCTAATTAGCACTCTTACTACCTATCCTCCCCTCTTTACTCTATTCTACCTCTCCGTATAATAACCGAGAAGGAAGTTCGCCGCTTCGGTATAGGCGACGTCGACCTATAGGATATATACTACTCGTTAGACGATAATAGTAATCTATGCCTTATAGTTAACGACGATAATATAAGTAAAGATAATCGCCTTGCCTAGACGAGACTAACTAGTACAATCTAGCTTAAGACTAGTAGCCTCTATATTACTAAGGAACAGGCGGAGATAATCGATACGGCGAGTAGCTACGCCCCGAAAATTAAGAAGACCTAGAACCCGGCGAAGTAGATAATACTTAGAGACCGTAAGAACACTATAGACTCGATAATTATCTAGAGCCGGTTAGTACAATTACTTCTAATTAAGATCCGAGCATCCTTACTAATAGATTCGTAGCGGTAATATTATTAACTAGGAATATACCGCCTACTAAGGCCGGCCGATCCTAAATAAGAACGAGCGAAAAGAGGGTAGAGGCCCTTAGAAGGTACTCTTTCTCCGCCTTCCTCCTATATAAAGATGTTTAAAGCTAATAATAGTAGGAATGTGTAAAATAGGAGTATATAATAGAGGGTGCCTATAGAAATTACATCTAGAATAGTAAGAAGAACTTATGCTCCGTAAACACCTTAAACGACCGTATCCTTAAGCACAAATAGAGCGAGAATGCTAGTAATAACCCTAATATAGTAGGCAATGCGGCAGATCCTTAGTATAAGGGCATAAGATTCCCCCGTAAGGCAAGTGCGAAGAAGGCGAGGGCGAGCCGTAGCAAGGGAAAAGGCAAATAGTAGAGGCTATCTCCTCCTCTAGGTAGTATAATAGTACTAAAGTAGTTTTAGAGGTGGGTATAGAGCTAGCTCTAGAGCTTATTATTTCTTTCTCTCTCCCCTTTTCCTTTTATAAGWTATTCTATTTCCTTTATAGAACTAAATTAATAATCGGAGTGTATACCCTTTCTCTAGTACTATTATACGGCTACTATTTATAGAGAGAAGGGTTTTATCTCGGTAGAATGCAGGTGTCCCTTTTTCTATACTTTGTATTTACTTTACTTATTTTCGAAAATAAGACTATGTCGCTATTCCGCCTCTCGTATTCCTCGAGTATGCTATTATTCCCTTTTACTATTATACGCATACTCCGTAAGGAGAAAGCATAAGATATTTGTAAAATAGCTAAGTCCCCGTTTTATTTACTTTATATATTCTCTCCTAAGTAATAACACCTACCGGGGAGCGAGCACGTGTATTACGTATTACTTACTTCCGACCGGTATAAGTAGTATTAGGTGCTATTATGCATATACTAGATAGAGCTTTATAGTAGTAACTACAAAATAGCACTCTCTTTTAAATTCCTTTTCCTTATACCTTTACTAACATTCTACGGCATTAAACATAGTAATTAACATCCTTTTACTATATTAATAYCTCTTCCCTCCTCTRCCCCTCCCCGTATAAAGCGCGACTACTACGATAGCGACTATAGAGTTCCGGCTATAGTTGCTTAACCTTAGTATCGATAAAGTAGGAAGGCGTAGAGTCGACTACCGTAGAACTAAAGTAAGAGTTAAAACGCTAGATAATATCTTTAGGACATTTAGACTAACTAGTACAAAATAGCTCCGAGATACTAGCCTTCTCTTTACCCTACTCCTCTAAGACGAGATAGACGATAAGGCTAGCTACCGGTTTTCGATAAGGGATCCTACGTAGGACCTAGCTAAGCGTATTAAGTATCGTTAGTTATATATAACCTCTCTRCTTATCTAGAGCCGGTTAGTATAATTATTTCTAGTTAAGGTCTAAGCATCCTTACTAAYAGATTCGTAGCGGTAGCGTTATAGGTRCTAGCGTAYACCCTACTACTAGCGGGCTATATAYCCGGTGCCTAGCRGGTAAGRGCCCGTTCTAGGTACGAGACCTCTATTATTCTCCCGTATAAAGATRCTATATACTAATAGAGGYAGCACTATATAATCTAGCGYAATTACTTCTATAATTATTRCGGAAATTRYAAGTTTTAAGATTAGGCGACCGAATRTAGTTATAAYATCTAGAACGAGTATTTAGACTCGTCGATAGAGGAGGAGGTAGAGAAGCTACTAAGTACAATCCTTAGTAAGACTAGAACGAGAAGCATATCGGCGCTAGCGCGTACGGCTAGGATAGTAGAGTATTATATTAAGCCCGAGGTAGAGCCTAAGAAGAGGGT